AAGTAAGTACTATGAGATCTAAACTCATCTCTACCTGATCCTAATGCACCATCTAGTGCCTCAGCTTGGTCAGTGCTGGGCGCGCTCGTCCTGTCCTTGTAAAATGTTCCAGCCGTATGCGAAGCATCACAGTGCAGGTGAGTCCCACGATCTGAGACACAGTGACCGTGTTACATCCTCATTCTAAGAAGGGATTGTTAGCCCTGGCTGGATCTCAGAATGCTTGTAGCATTTGGTTGTTGTTTTCCTTTCTTTCCTTCCTTTTTTGTTTTTCTTTGTGCTAAACAGAGATGGCATCTCTGAGGGACAAGTGCTGTGGTGCACATCTGTGGAGTTGGTGGTTTGGACGAAGAGCCCAGGTCATCTTGAAAATCAACTTAACGGTTCCAATCCATGGATTCTATTTTGGGATTTGTGTGTGTGTATGTGTGTGTGTCATTAGCAATTTTCATAAACTTCCATCTTAAAATTAAAAGCTACAGCTAACTAAAGATGTTGAGCAGAACAAGGCTGAGGTCCAGGCTCTAGAACACACAACAAGGAGCCCCTGGGTAAGAGGAAATCATTCTTTAGCTCTGTGGTTGAGTGAAAATAAAAACCATGGCCACCAGTCTCTGGGGCTGTAAGACAAACATTGTATTTCTTAGAATTCCTTGCAACTAGAATTCTGGGAAACTGTATTGTTTCACAAAATGGCAAGTAAAACACTAATCGGAGGCCATATCCTTCAGCTAATTCTTTCTAGCAAGCATGGTACAGGGCGTCTCAGGATCTTTACAGACACACCCTGGCATCAAGTCACCAGCGCCACAGGTGCTTAGGATGAATGCAACAGTGCGCTAGTAAGGGCCCCACCTGTGTTACTCAACACTCAATGCAACAGTGCACTAGTAAGGGTCCCATCTGTGTTACTCAACACTCAATGCAACAGTGCACTAGTAAGGGCCCCACCTGTGTTACTCAACACTCAATGCAACAGTGCACTAGTAAGGGTTCCGCCTTAGTTACTCAACACTCAATGCAACAGTGCACTAGTAAGGGCCCCGCCTTAGTTACTCAACACTCAATGCAACAGTGCACTAGTAAGGGTTCCGCCTGTGTTACTCAACACTCAATGCAACAGTGCACTAGTAAGGGCTTAACCTGTGTTACTCAACACTCAATGCAACAGTGCACTAGTAAGGGTTCCATCTGTGTTACTCAACACTCAATGCAACAGTGCACTAGTAAGGGTTCCGCCTTAGTTACTCAACACTCAATGCAACAGTGCACTAGTAAGGGTTCCATCTGTGTTACTCAACACTCAATGCAACAGTGCACTAGTAAGGGCCCCGCCTTAGTTACTCAACACTCAATGCAACAGTGCACTAGTAAGGGTTCCGCCTTAGTTACTCAACACTCAATGCAACAGTGCACTAGTAAGGGCTTCATCTGTGTTACCCAACACTCAATGCAACAGTGCACTAGTAAGGGTTCCTTCTGTGTTACTCAACACTCAATGCAACAGTGCACTAGTAAGGGCCCCGCCTGTGTTACTCAACACTCAATGCAACAGTGCACTAGTAAGGGCCCCGCCTGTGTTACTCAACACTCAATGCAACAGTGCACTAGTAAGGGCCCCGCCTTAGTTACTCAACACTCAATGCAACAGTGCACTAGTAAGGGCCCCGCCTGTGTTACTCAACACTCAATGCAACAGTGCACTAGTAAGGGTTCCATCTGTGTTACTCAACACTCAATGCAACAGTGCACTAGTAAGGGTTCCGCCTGTGTTACTCAACACTCAATGCAACAGTGCACTAGTAAGGGCTCCGCCTGTGTTACTCAACACTCAATGCAACAGTGCACTAGTAAGGGCTCCGCCTGTGTTACTCAACACTCAATGCAACAGTGCACTAGTAAGGGCCCCGCCTGTGTTACTCAACACTCAATGCAACAGTGCACTAGTAAGGGCTTCACCTGTGTTACTCAACACTCAATGCAACAGTGCACTAGTAAGGGTTCCATCTGTGTTACTCAACACTCAATGCAACAGTGCACTAGTAAGGGCCCCGCCTTAGTTACTCAACACTCAATGCAACAGTGCACTAGTAAGGGTTTCGTCTGTGTTACCCAACACTCAATGCAACAGTGCACTAGTAAGGGTTCCATCTGTGTTACTCAACACTCAATGCAACAGTGCACTAGTAAGGGCCCCGCCTTAGTTACTCAACACTCAATGCAACAGTGCACTAGTAAGGGCTTCATCTGTGTTACTCAACACTCAATGCAACAGTGCACTAGTAAGGGTTCCATCTGTGTTACTCAACACTCAATGCAACAGTGCACTAGTAAGGGCCCCGCCTGTGTTACTCAACACTCAATGCAACAGTGCACTAGTAAGGGCTTCATCTGTGTTACTCAACACTCAATGCAACAGTGCACTAGTAAGGGTTCCGCCTTAGTTACTCAACACTCAATGCAACAGTGCACTAGTAAGGGCCCCGCCTGTGTTACTCAACACTCAATGCAACAGTGCACTAGTAAGGGCCCCGCCTGTGTTACTCAACACTCAATGCAACAGTGCACTAGTAAGGGCCCCGCCTTAGTTACTCAACACTCAATGCAACAGTGCACTAGTAAGGGTTCCGCCTGTGTTACTCAACACTCAATGCAACAGTGCACTAGTAAGGGCCCCGCCTTAGTTACTCAACACTCAATGCAACAGTGCACTAGTAAGGGTTTCGTCTGTGTTACCCAACACTCAATGCAACAGTGCACTAGTAAGGGTTCCATCTGTGTTACTCAACACTCAATGCAACAGTGCACTAGTAAGGGCCCCGCCTTAGTTACTCAACACTCAATGCAACAGTGCACTAGTAAGGGCCCCGCCTGTGTTACCCAACACTCAATGCAACAGTGCACTAGTAAGGGTTCAGCCTGTGTTACTCAACACTCAATGCAACAGTGCACTAGTAAGGGTCCCGCCTTAGTTACTCAACACTCAATGCAACAGTGCACTAGTAAGGGTTCCGTCTGTGTTACTCAACACTCAATGCAACAGTGCACTAGTAAGGGTTCCGTCTGTGTTACTCAACACTCAATGCAACAGTGCACTAGTAAGGGCCCCGCCTTAGTTACTCAACACTCAATGCAACAGTGCACTAGTAAGGGTTCCGCCTTAGTTACTCAACACTCAATGCAACAGTGCACTAGTAAGGGTCCCATCTGTGTTACTCAACACTCAATGCAACAGTGCACTAGTAAGGGCCCCGCCTGTGTTACTCAACACTCAATGCAACAGTGCACTAGTAAGGGCCCCGCCTTAGTTACTCAACACTCAATGCAACAGTGCACTAGTAAGGGTTCCGCCTGTGTTACTCAACACTCAATGCAACAGTGCACTAGTAAGGGTTCCGCCTGTGTTACTCAACACTCAATGCAACAGTGCACTAGTAAGGGCCCCGCCTTAGTTACTCAACACTCAATGCAACAGTGCACTAGTAAGGGTTTCGTCTGTGTTACCCAACACTCAATGCAACAGTGCACTAGTAAGGGTTCCATCTGTGTTACTCAACACTCAATGCAACAGTGCACTAGTAAGGGCCCCGCCTTAGTTACTCAACACTCAATGCAACAGTGCACTAGTAAGGGCCCCGCCTGTGTTACTCAACACTCAATGCAACAGTGCGCTAGTAAGGGTTCCGTCTGTGTTAGTGGCAACAGCAACCCACGTTTAGCACAGCAGCAGTGGTCCTACACAGGGTCACTCCTGGGCCTAGTTTTCTGACTTAGCCTTCTCTTCCAACCTGTCCATTGGTTTTGGTAACATCCACAATCTTTAACTCGAATCTCTGTGTTTACAGTGTCTAGGTTAGGGGCTGGAGAGAAGGCCCAGCAGTTAGGATCTTGTGTTGCTTTAGCAGAAGACATGGTTCAGTTCCCAGCTCCCACATGCAAGAGGCTCAGGACCAGTTACAGCTTCAGTTCCAGGGGATCAGATATCTGCAGGCATCTACATGCACATAGTACACAAAACACCCTCATGGCCACATATACATATAAAGTAAAATGATAAAATAAATCTTAAAATGTCTAGAGATACCTTCTATTTCTTTTAATGAAGTGCAGTTGATTTAAACGCATTGAGATATAATTCTCACCTCAGGTTAACTCAGTACAGTCCCAGCCAGGAGACACAATTCATCACCTGGGCACTCTCCTACCATTTCCTCATCACGCAGAGGTCAGTCAGTCCCTGCCTCTCGGCCACTTAGACACAGTGGCACACAGCGGAATGTAACCTACCACGCAGGACCAGGAGCAGGGGAAAGGCAGAAGAGTCAATAGCTACAGAGATGGTCAAGGTGCTCTCCTGTCACTGAGACACTCTGTCCTTCCTCTATGGCTTCCCCAGGTCAGGCTTGCTGACTGCAGGTCAGGCTGGGGCGGGCAGTCCATGAAAGGATTTACAAAGTCTATGCTTCACACAGCAGAAGCAGCCATAAGCACACGGAACGGAGCCTTCTCTGTGGGCATCTCCTCCAAGTAAGCCTTCCTAGGGTTTCATCTCCAATTGCACCTCCGTCTTGATGTTTAACCGATAATTTAGACAGCGTGCCATGCTATTATATTATATTTATTGAAACAAATTTTTAAGTTTTCTCTTTTAATTGGGAAAGTAAATGTTAGAAACACTATCCTCTCCTTAAAATATTTCACAAATTTAATTATGGGTTTGTAGCTTGTAACAGAAAAAAAGTTCCATAAGTTCCATAACTCTAAGTTAAAGATAGATATATAGATATATAGAAATATAGATATATGTGTGTGAGCACACATGTGGGCATATATATGTGCAAATGTGTACATGTGCACACTTTAATGTACACGTTAAAGCTTTTTAAAGGCTGACTTTTGCCTTAAGCTCAAAACCAGAGTTTTCCATAACTTTCTAAAAAGAAGCAGAATTAATCCTGGCTTCAATGTGGGCACACTTTCAGTGAGAAACAGCCACGTACTTTTCATAGTTCCGTCTTCTTCTTCCTCGTCCTCACTGTTTATGACCATGGTGCCCAGGTCTGACTCTAACACCGTGCTGTTGTGTTCAATCATTGTCTGGGCCCCTTCGCTCATCGTGCTGGTGGCCCGCATTGTTCCCACGCTCTCTGAACTGGTCTTCACCATGGTGTGCGAATCCAGCTCATCTTCATCCTGCGGGCAAAATACCAGAGTGAGCAAAGGCCTCTCAAGACAGACGGATCTCTTCGCTCTTAGTAAGAACGCACATAGGCTTTTTTCTAACGACAAAAGCGCCGATGCTATTATAATGCTCAACAGTGTAAAGGCAGGGATTCAAATGGATACTTGTGTACCAGTGTCCACAGCAGCGTTACTCACGGCAGTCGAACGGTAGGAACAACCTAAGTATTTACCTTCAAATGAACACAACAAGCAAGATGTGCTACATACATACAGCAAGTGTCATTCAGCCTTAAAAGGGATTGAAATTCCAACACACACTGTTTTGCAATATGGACAATCTTTGTGTGTGTGTGTGTGTGTGTGTGTGCACGCGCGCAGGGGCACGTGTGTACGAGTGTGTGTGCAGGCACGCAGACTCTACTGTTTAGCTGATAAACCACTAAAACTGGTTTCTACAGTAGTTGTATCACTTTATATTACCAACAGCAGTGCCGTGGGCTCTAATTTCTCTATTTCCTCATCAATATTTATTATTTTCAATTTTTAAAAAATGGTCGTGTTAATGGGTATCAAGCAGTGTCAAAGTTTGATTTATATTCTGATTAGCAGTGATATTAAGTAATCATTCATATATTTAATAGTTCAGTTGTAGATCTTCTTGGGAAAAGTGTTTACTGGAGCTCTTTGCCTCTTTCTTTCATGGATTTTTGAGGCACAGTCTCACTGCGCAGCACCGCTCTCTGGATGCGGTCGGTGCCTGGGCTGCACATCGAGGAGAAAGCCGGCTGAACACCAACACCACCATGCTTCGCTTCCTGACCGTGACGCAGTGTGGCCAGTTGCCTCAAGTTCCTGCTGCCTTGACCTCCCAGCCTGGTGGACTATCCCTCGAATTCGAAGCCAAAGTAATCCCGCCACTCCTTAAATTACCTTTGCCAGAAACGGGAAGAGTAACTAATATACATCCTCTATGCACTTAACTAAATCTTACCTCTACAGCTGATCAGCTTTTCCTGTTTTAGTTTCAAACCAGTAGAATCTACCACAGTCAGCACACATCTTTGCATGCAAATTTATGATGTCTTAATTTCAGCCCTTATCCCATAAAGCTCTGTACAAATACAGGTGCCTTATGGGTAAGAATAGACAAGAGGGCCGTAAGCAGCTAGGTCCACTTGTGTCACTTTGCAGAGAAACGCAGGGAGAGTTTAGTATCTTCTGTTTCACAGAGTTACAAAATCAAGGGATTTGACAATAAGAAGATATTTAATCCCTAATTTCGTATCTGAAAAACAAAAAACTAGGTCCACAGAAAGGAAGATTTCCCGAAGGTCACACATCTATTTAACACAGAGCTGGAATACAAACTGCATTTTTCTCTTAGAGCATTTGATCCGCCACATCCGTGTTCCTTATCTACAGCTACCTTTTGACTACTTGGACGCTCGGTCAGGGACGTGGGCTTACAATCATAATAGTGTATTTATACAATTCCTTTGAAAAATTACATTGTGTGGAAGTGTGTGTGTGTGTGTGTGTGTGTGTGTGTGTGTGTGTGTACCATTTGCAGGAACTGGTTCTCTCCTTCTACTGTATGGGTCCTGGGGATCAAACTGAGGTCATCAGGCAAGTACTCCCCTCACTGCACTATCTCATCAACCCTACTTTCCAATCCTTATCCTCAGAGTTCAACAAATTACTCCATTTATATTGGTCCGGCCTTGTGTTCTCTGTTTCATGCTTGCCCTTTTCAGTCTCTCAAACAACTGGGAGACTGAGTCTTCCAAAAGATCCCATCGCCCTATCCTGCTGCTGTAACTGTCCGTCTGACTTTTCTTATGAAATCTTTATCACGGTGAAATGCGATCTGGCCTTGTAACATGTGTCAGCCCCATCTCCTGTCACATTCCTTCTCGCTCACCACACTCCAGCCATGCTGGCCTCCTTAGCTGTTTCTCGAGAACTACAGATGTTCCTCTGTGCGTCTTTCAGTTGGCTGATCTTCCAGACTGGAATGCTCTTCTATAAGACAGTGCGGTCATTTATTTCCCTGACGACTGCACTCAGATGTGACTTCTCTGACCTGACCTTCGCCATTGTTTACTGCTGACCCTCTTTTTCACAGGTGGCAACTGGCCTTCCCTGCCACTAGGATGCAAGTGTGATGGAGACAAGACACTTCCTTTCACTTCCAAATCCCGGCCACTGGGACTATCTAACACTTAGTAGGTATAGGAGGATGTTCACAAAGAAAACAATTTATATCTCGCTTACTAATTCATTCAGTGAGCATGTATTGTACTCTTGTAACTCATCAAGTAGTTCACCAGTATCTGAGGTACAGAGATGAGCAAGACGTAGTTTTGTTCCACTGCTTTTCTAAGGAATTTGAGGTTGGGAGAAATCTTCTGACATGTGAGCAATAAATCATGACTTAAGTGCAGTAAGGGAGTGTTGACAGTACAATGAGAGCCCAGGGCGGGGACTCTAATTTTGCTTTAATAAGTAGAGAATGCCTCACAGAAGAAGCCGTCCTGACGTCAGACCTTTTCCCCCTAAAACATTCAAGTTTTAACAATATATAATAACTACACAGACTTACAAGACACAGCAGGATATTTTAGTGCATATATATAAAACACATGATAATATTGGGGTTTATTACTTCCATTACTTAGTGTTTGGGACTGCTGAGATTCTGTCTTCAATTCACTGAGTCTTGGAGGGCGAGGAGGTTATGCACAAACACAAACATAAATCTAGGTGGAATGTTCTGTATGCCACCTTTTCCCCTGAGAGCTGCTTGTTGCTATGCTGACTATATACTCAGCATAACATGCTTCCACTGTCTGTACGCCTGACTTACCTGAGTCCCATACACTCTGAAATCTGAGAGCAGTACTAGATTGCAATAGTTACACTTTTGGTGTCCAGGATAAAGCATTGTTCTTTAAATGCCATCGAATGAAATGTTAAAGCCCTCACTTGAGGCAATGGCAAAGCACAGAGTTATGGGTCAATGTTACATAAAGTGATAGGGATAGAAAATTTATTTAAAATGTATTTGTGTGAGTGGGTCAGCCTGCCCCGATGCTGTGAGCCTGGGAGAGCTGTGCCCACTACTGAGTTGACAGATGAGCAAAATGGCAGGAAGCAGACTGACTCACACTTGAGCCTTTTATTCTCACGGAGAGTCTAGGAGAAGTCCTTCCATCAGCTTGTTTTAACTGTAACATCCTGTCATCATTGTCATAGCTGCAACCAGACGATTCCCCGAACACTAACCCTATTTTCATGTGTTGAGCCATTTGTCTCGTTTCTTCACGAGCAGCAAGGCTACGATCACTGCGGTCAACAAGAACCGTTACTTCCTGTTGGTACGAAATGGATCCCTACTCTCTGTGCTGTCTGTGCTAGTGCCGAGTCTGCAAAGGGACAGTGACAGGGACAGTTTGCACCTTCAAAACCGCTGACTAAATTTAGAAAGGAAGGCTCTGTGACATTATTTTCACATGCAGTCACTTTGCTAAAAGATGCTAATTTACAAATACAAAGCCAAAAAATAAAACAGGGGGGAATTTAAAAGTAACACAAATGCTCACTTCACAAATGTGACCGGGACAAGAATGAAGATTAATGTAATGCAGATGGAAAGATAATTATTTTATGCGAAATTAGAAAACCAAAACTGGGTGGTGGCGTTGAAAACTTTTCAGCAACACTTTCTGTTTTTAACTTAAACTTCGTTCACTCTGAACATGATCTTTGTATTTTAGATCACTGTTAATTTGGGACGGTACTTAACGCTTTTAGAATACAGCAGCTACGAACGCTCCTTCGTGTCACACTTCACTTGTAGACAAGGTCTGCAGAGCAGATGCTCCCAGCTCCAGTAAGGGACACAGCAGCATTGTCAGTCGGAGGCCATCATGTGCCAGGAATGCAGAACAGAGCACGGACCATGATCCAGCTTGTGAATCGTCAGGTCCACACGGAATACAAATATTTGAAAACATTATTAGGAAATCCTACTCCACTGCTGGGACAGGCATGTGCTATAACAGTCTAAGAAAAAAAAAGATTCTTTGTATGAAATATCTCTATATCTGTGGTATTTATTACCTTGACATTTTCTAACTACCCTGTCATAATTCACTAATGTCGAAGATATTCACACAAAGATCTCATGAAGAATTTGCAACACTAATGAGAAAATTATTCCTTTAGTAGATAATCTGTTTAAGATATTCTAACCTTTGAATTTCTCTTACGTGCCAGGAAATTCCTTCCAAGAAGCCTTCCTTTAGAAGTGACATCCACTTGTTTTGGCCTTATCTGACACAGCACCCCAGACAGCAGATGAAAGCAACTGCCAACCTGGTCCAGAGGTGCCACATCACCTCCTGAGACAAACTAGCTAAAGGCTCACTGTGGCAGAGCTACCCCTTGAATGTGTACCACTGGGGACAGGAAGAAAATAAGGGCGTCTGCTGCTCAGGTCAGGCTTGTCACTTGGAAAGCTGACTCGGGGGTAAAAATCAAGAACAGTTAGCAGCCCTGTAGTCTGAGGGGGTGTGAAGGCAGAGATATTCTGCCTAGAGTGGAAATTAACGTGGACACGACAGCATCAGGAGATAGGTCACGGCTCATGCGATTCGGAGTCGGCCTGAACTGCATGCCCGAAGAGGGACAGGAACCTTGGAAATGAAGTGTAAGTTGGGAGATGAGACTGACGAGGGGGCTGGAATCGGTCGTAATTGAGGTCCGGATGTCACGGTAATTAGAGCCTGTGCTAATGGGCAGTGAGCACTGGCAGAAAATTTACAAGCCAAGTTTGAAAGAAATCATGAGGGGGAAATATCAGTATTCTAAAAGCCTTTTGCGCAAATATAATGGGTCAGAAATAACTTCAATATGCTGTACCTAAAGAGACCAAACTGAATTTAAAAAGAGTGAGAGAGAGTGTGTGTGTGTGTGTGTGTGTGTGTAAATCTGAAAGAAAATAACACTATTTATAAGCAAAAATGATGTGATGGAGATTGTCACTTTAGCACCCAGTGACAGAATCAAGTGAATCTTTTTGGTGAGCGAGTTGAGAAGTCAACAAGGCATGGGCGGTGTACGTCACTGAGATGGAGCAGGCGATGGACGGGCGGGGTCTCCTCCCTCCCTCCTCTGCACTGACTGTGAGCTCTGGAGGCTGGTGGCCGTGGTGGTTAGCGTGAGAAACGGCCCCCTGTTCACATGCTTGCACTCTCGGGTCCCAGCTGGGAGCACCGTTTGGGGAGGACATGGATCTTTAGACACAGAGCCTTGCTAGAGTAAGAGTGTCACTTGGGGTGGGCTCTGGGAATTTATAGCTCACCCTACTTCCAGTTCACCGTCTCGGCTTCCTGAGGGATGAAATGTGAGCAGCCACATTACTGTGCTCTCTTCACCCCACACCCCCCTTCTGGAGCCATAGGCGCAGTCAGTAAACTTGCCGTCTGCAGTCCCTTTTTAGGTCACGGTATTTTATCCTAGCAGAGAAGTAACTAATCCCGTGAGTCACTCATGTTAAACATACTAACCCTGTCAAAATACATAAAATTAGTTCAGAATTAGTTAGAAAAGGCAAAAATCAAAAGGCACCACTGTAAGTTTGCTTAAATGTCCCCAGTTACAGAGGAACCCCCCCATTACTCCCCTAGAACAAGGGGGAGACGCAGAAGTGACCCTATGGCACAAACCAGTGAATCCTATTTACATACAGGAAGGACAGCCCTGTCTGCTGTGTCTGTGAACAGCAGGGCCATTAACAGCTGCTGAAATCTGGCCTTACCTGTGCTAAATATCACTGAGAAGACCAATCCTTAAGCATTGTTTTTTTGAGACTGGGTTTCTCTGTGTAGCTCTGACTGTCCTGGCACTCTCTCTGTAGGCCAAGCTGGCCTCGAACTCACAGAGATCCACCTGCCTCTGCCTCCCAAGTGCTGGGATTAAATACGTGTGCCACCACCACCTGGCTTAAGCCCTTTTTCTATATCAGCTTACAAAACAGAGTAACTTGGTATTCAGTCACTCGGTCCTATAGACACTTGTGGTTCCTGAGAATCTACAGGAAGAATGAACTCTCTTCTCACTGCTATTAGTAGGTGGTCCTTCTACTTCAGTGCAAAACCAGCCCAGCCGCACAGACAGCTGCTGTCTTTAACAAACAGAAGCTTGATGGATTCCTAACTTTTTGCACGTTTGCAGGTGTGTCGGAAAATGCCACCCAAGCTTTCAGAAACTCCAGAAGTCCTGAAAGACGTATTCCTCAGTGAGACAGAGAGCGTGTGGGCAGGATTGCAGAGGTTCATGGAGCAGACATGCACAAGCTTGGGGCATTCTATGAAAAGTTTCCACACGAGAGAGAGATTATCTCCTACCCCTGTGCATAATGCTGACGCACAACACAGGAAATTAAGTGGTAAAGGTAACTAGGACTTTTACTTTTTTCTACCAGAGCCAAAAATCTGTCAAAATATTAGCAAAATATAAAAGGAACTTCAGATGTTTCATACAATTTGAAGATTATTGTATTGCTATAAGCAATTTGTAAAATGTCCACAAGAGGGCACTACAGACAAAAGACTAAAATTTCATTAAGGAACAGTTCATACAAAGGGTTATTAATATATTTACTCAGCATATTTATCAGAAATAGATTGGTAGCCATTGATAATTTTTAACCAAGATATCTGAGACTACTATAATTACTGTGATGTCACTGTAGTTTAGTAAAAGTAATCATATTGTATAAAAATACTGTTTATAGATGTTGTCAACATTTGACAATTCCCAGAGTAACTTACGAGTAATAGATCAAGGCCAAAGAATATTTACTAATTCCACAAAACCAATAAAGTCCTACAATGGTGAATATTCATATTACTGTACTCTAAGTTGATTTTATATGAAAATTAAGATATATATTATGTTCCTAGAACACACATTAAAGGCTAATCTGTTATGAAAAAAATCTTTCTCTTATGTTCCTTTGTGAAATTTTAACAGACATTTCACAGAATAACTATTACTTATGTACATTTAAAGTTGCTGCTACTAAATAATTTTAACAAATCAACTTCAGAAATATACAATGCAAAAGAAGAAAGCTTGAAATTCTAGGACAAAGGTTAGTCAGGGCAGCAAAAAGTAACCTACTTCCAATCCAAATAGTCACATTTCACTTAAGCACTGACAAAGAAAGATTTAAATATTTGTGTGTGACTTATCAGTCTGTAAATGAAGACTCAGGCTGAGAATTCCTTATACAAGATGTTCCAGCCAGAGTGTTTCAGGTCTCACTAGAGTTTGCAGTATTTATCTATATGTTTGATATTTTAGGAGACCCAAATCTAAACATGAAATTTATTTATATGCAACCTATATATAAGACTAAGGGTAATTTCACACAAGATTCAGACTTGTATTTTCCACTGTGATGTATGCCAATACTCAAGTTCTGGAACACTTTATAGAGTTCAGATTTTTTCCCTTTAGGAATGTTGAACCTATAACATTCTGTGGTGATGATCATTTTGTAGAATTATCCTAAACAAGGAGTTACATGCAAGTAAAATTATTATACTCAGAGATAGTGATTTAAAAACATTTACAGTTAACACTGTGTGTCAGTCAGTGTGTGAGGCACATCTTTATCCCTGAGAAAGTTAGAGACTAGACAACTGTGGTCAGACAGATGTTCACATGGAGCAAAAGGCTGTGCGCTATGGGGCATGGAGAAACACGTGACCGACTGAATGAAGCCAGAGGAGAAAACAGATTTTAGAAGAACAATGGCTATGACATGGGCTAAAGCAGCAAGACAGGCCTTCTGGCTTTCTTTAAACACTTTGGAGAAATCCCGGGGTCACTACCGACTGCAGAAAACACTCAGGCTTACGGACTTTCTTGACACATAACTGTGTATATGCGTGATCATCTGTCCATTACATAAAGACTTGGACACTAACGAACGCAGTGGATTACCCAGAAAGGCACGTAGAAAGCATTTCAGTTACAGTGTCAAAACACACAGTGAAAGAACACAGGTTCTGGCTATTCTTAAACAACAAAAAGCATACAAACAAAAAAACCTGACTGTGACTACAGTTTTACTCTGAGGAGAAAAGTCCCAGGAGATCGAGTGGGCAAATGGGACTATGTGAGGAGGCAAACAGAAACGGAGCCTTTTGCAGGAAGTGCTTTTACTGAGAAAGCAAGAGGCAATCCATATTCCTTATTACGTACCAAACCTGCGGGCGCCTGTCTGTCTACATCACGGTCGCTATCCACGTCAGGGCCGATATCCACATCACAGCCGCTATCACTATCCACATCATGGCCGTTATCACTATCCACATCATGGCCGCTATCCGCATCATGGCCGCTATCTGCATCATGGCCACTATCCGCATCATGGCCGCTATCTACCTATCCATATCATGGCCGTTATCACTATCCACATCATGGCCGCTATCCACATAATGGCTCCTGTCTGCAGCATGGCCCTTATCTGTATCATGGCTGCTATTTGCACCGTGGCCGCTGTCTGCATCGTGGATGCTATTAGCATCATGGCTGCTGTCCACATCATGGACGCTATCAGTTTACTTGTCCTTTTCACCAGCCTTAAGCTGCCTGAAGGCTAACACTGCCTTCCCTTTCTTCTGCACCAATATTTACAACTGGAGAAAAGACATTAACTCTAAACAGGCAAAGAAACACAGTGAATGTATAGACATAGAGTTACAGGAAAGTGAGGCCAGGCTAATGCAACAAGAAAAGAATTAGAGTTGTGTAGACTGGATGGGAGAATTAAAACTACTCACAGGTGGCACAGTTACCTGGTAGAGTCGACTAAGTCTCACAGAACAGCCCCTGAAGTGAACGGGTAGGGAGGGCACAAATCTCAAGAGCACCATGCAAAGCTCAGCTACTTTCCTGTGGGCCACTAGTAAAGGAAACGCTTGTGTGTAATCATATATTATAGATCTGTGTTGCACTGGTGCAATAAATGAAGGAAAAGCTAGGAAACTGCGAGTCATTGTATGTTGATGGAGTAGAAAAGTATTGTGATGACATTTGCTTGTAGTTTTCCGTGCTCTGCGTATCTTGTTTGAGGCAGGGTCCTGCTAGAATTTGTTGAATTGGCTGCTGGTCTTTAACTCACAACCCACTTCTGTTTCAGCTAAGGTTTTTAGTTTTGTTTTGTTTATGTCCATGGCAACTCTTATAAAGGAAACATTTAATTGGGGCTGGCTCACAGTTTACAGGGTTAGTCCATCATCATGGTGGGAAGCATGGCTCTGGCAGGCGAACACAATGCTGGAAAAGGAGCTGAGAGTTCTGTATCTGCATCAACAGGAGAAGGAGCTGAGAGTTCTACATCTGCATCAGCAGGAGAAGGAGCTGCGAGTTCTGTGTCTGCATCAACAGGAGAAGGAGCTGAGAGTTCTACATCTACATCAGCAGGAGAAGGAGCTGAGAGTTCTGTATCTGCATCAGCAGGAGAAGGAGCTGAGAGTTCTGTATCTGCATCAGCAGGAGAAGGAGCTGAGAGTTCTGTATCTGCATCAGCAGGAGAAGGAGCTGAGAGTTCTGTGTCTGCATCAACAGGAGAAGGAGCTGAGAGTTCTACATCTACATCAGCAGGAGAAGCTGAGAGTTCTGTATCTGCATCAGCAGGAGAAGGAGCTGAGAGTTCTGTATCTGCATCAGCAGGAGAAGGAGCTGAGAGTTCTGTATCTGCATCAGCAGGAGAAGGAGCTGAGAGTTCTGTATCTGCATCAGCAGGAGAAGGAGCTGAGAGTTCTACATCTGCATCAGCAGGCAGCAGGAAGAGAGACAGCCACTGGGCTGGTGTGAGCTCCTGGAACCTCAGAGCCCATGCCCTGTGATACACTTCCCCCAAGGCCACACCCAAGAGTGCCACTCCCTGGTGACTGGGCATTTAAACACATGAGCCTGTGGTGGCCACTCTATTCAAACCACCCCACCCTGCCTCTGCCTCACAAACACTGAGATCAAGGGCATGCCCCACCATGCCCAGCAAGAAGTCATTTCCTTCTGACAATGTATACACTTAATCCCAACTCAATAACAACTGTGAACGTTTAATATGTAAATGTCAACACAATGACCCTAAATATCATAAAGGAAGGCAAAATCCTTAGGAGAGGCAGCCCCACATACTGAATAAGAGAGGTAACACACCCTGAAAAACTGTACCGTGCAGAGGGGCCTAAGGAAGCACGGTGACAGAGAGCAGCACAGGCCCTGGTCAGTCCTGAAACAGATAGCAGATACCATGCAAAACCACTAAATATTTTACTTATTGTATAAGTATCACGTATCCCTGGGAATCAATTTTGCATTAGACAAAATTAAATCATACTGAGATAAAGCAATTCATGTATTTAACTTTTATGTGCACAAGAACTATTCATTTCATTTCATTTTCAATGAGAAACTTTTTCACAATCTCTTATGAGGCTATTTAGAGACTCCTTAGTAAAATTCAGTGTGTGTGTGTTTAAAAACAAGATCACTTAAGCATACACTGTTTTGAAATGATGTATGGCGGGGTCGTTCTTATAGACTTGTCCTCTACTATACCCAGTGTGCCGTGCTGAGAGCCAAATGTATTTTGAAGTTGTGCTTTGTTAAAGACAGCCAGTCTGCTAATACATACATAAGTAGCAGACTTGCCATAGGCAGGTCAGGGATTTACACAGCCATGAACAAATATTGAAGCTATTTAATCTACTCACATTAGGGATGTGTTAATAGCTTTCAAGAATATATATGCAGGAAATAAATTCTTATGTAACACACCATTTTTTTCTTTGTTTGATTGTTTGGTTTTTGAGACAGCATTTCTTTGTGTAGCTTTAGAGTCTGTCCTGGAACTCACTCTGTAGACCACGCTGGCCTGGAACTCACAGAGATCCGCCTGCCTCTGCCTCCTGAGTGCTGGAATTAAAGGCATGTGCCACCACTACCCTGCCAACACAACAAATTTTTAACCCTGCTAAAAAATGAAAAAAATAAAAAGGTATTTGTCATTAAGTGTCAGCGACACTCTAACACAGAGGTTTTGATGCTAGGTAGGAAAATACGTACACTTCATCGGACAACCATGTTTTTAATCTGATTAATTTTTTTCTTTTTGTTTTTTTGTTTGTTTGTTTTTTCCGAGACAGGGTTTCTCTGTGGCCTAGAACTCGCTCTGTAGACCAGGCTGTCCTGGAACTCAGAGATACTCATGCCTCTGCCTCCCGAGTTCTGGGATTAAAGGCGTGCACCACCAATGCCCGGCTCAGTAATCTCATTAATTTAAAAAAAATTGGTGCAAAAACTCCAGCGCCTCTCAAGACAAGGTGTTTCCAAAACACATGTAAGTCATGCTCACTACATGCTCTCCTTTACATGATCCTAGTCATGAAGTTTAGAACATCGTGCTTCACACCATGTCCTGGTAAAAGCCACAATGACAGAAAGGCTATAGAGGGAGCCAGGGATAGATAGTAACACATCCGTCATGGGAAGAGGAGGGGAGGGGGAGGGGCACCCAGGGTGGAAGAGGTGTGTGAAGAAGGGAGGGCAACCGAAACTAAGAATCCACAAAAAAGGTTGCATGTAGATGAATTTTATGTTTAGATTTGGGCCTCCTAAAATATCAAACATATAGATAAATAATGCAAACTCTAGTGAGACCTGAAACACTCTGGCTGGAACATCTTGTATAAGGAATTCTCAGCCTGAGTCTTCATTTACAGACTTGTAAGTCACACACTAAGCAAGATGAAAACAGTAGTGTGACTCTTGGGGGTAACCAACCACCCCATGGGAGAGAACTCATGTCCGATCCCCTAAGGCTCCTCAGGTGCCTTTGATTAAAGAGGCCCCAGGCCCCAGGGGTTAACCTACCACTTGTGTTTTGATGAACAGTCATGCTGTCAAAGTGTCTTCTAGATACGCATGTTTATGCCCACAGATTACTTACTCGTCCAGTTTTCATCAGAGAAGGTTCTTACTGACACTCAAAACTAACCAGAGTGATGCGGGAGCACAACCCAGGCAGGAGTGCTGCACACCCCCGGAAGCCCAGGGAACATGACCAAAGAGGAGGGAAAATAATGTGAGAGCCATGGAGAGGAAACACACAACAAAAAGATGTGTACTGGGCATGGTAGTCACTGTATTCAGGGGTCACTGCAGCCATGGTTATGTGCAGAAGATGGGCCCAATTACCATCTTATCATAGATGAGGACAGGGCCCATGAGACCCCCCTCTTCCAGAGGGACCATCAGCTGTATGTGCTTGGTGAGGGAGGGTACCACTCTCTTCATCCTTGCTCCAGTGAAAAACTTCCCACCCACCAGACTCAGGCAAGTAATTGCAATGGGAGCCACACAGAGTCATGACAGCAGGAGAGGGTCTCATGAAGGAGGTTCTAGTGGGGGGAGGCCATAGGAAATGTGAAAAGTGACTAAGATATATCACACAAAGGTATGAAACTGTCAATAAACAGGAGGGATGAATCATATTCATGAGGCACAATTTCTCATATTCTATAACTATCAGGAAAAAAATAAAAGTCACAGGTATACACAGCTCTAAATTTTTTAAAGACATATTTGAAGTGGTTATCAAATATTGTATTTTCCAAAAGTCATATTGAAAACTGATGGAAACATAAAGTTAATTTTAGGTCACTATTGTGGTAGAATATTATTTTAAGATGTATGACTATTGTTTATGCTGCATTTGTTTAACTCGGTGAAGCTGTGATTCTTTGCCTGTCTAAAACACCTGATGGTCCAATAAAGAGCTGATGGCCAATAGCGAGGCAGAAGCAAGAATAGGCGGGGCTGGCAGACAGAGAGGATACATAGGAGAAATGAGGAGGAGCAACGAGAGAACAAGGAGAGGAGGACGTCAAGGGCTAACCACCCAGCCACCCAGCCACCCCCAGCCAGGGAGTCAGAAGGAGAGTAAGATATGCAAATGTAAGAAAGATAGAAAGCCCAGAAGGAAAAGGTAGATGGGCTAATTTAAGATAAGAAAAGCTGGCCAGAAACAAGCCAAGCTAAGGCCAGGCACCCATAATTAAGAATGAACCTCCCTGTGTGATTTACTAGGAGCTGGGTGGTGCCCCCCCAAAAATCAAAAGAATAAAAAACATTTAACCCAATACACTATTTTTCTCCAACTATAGTAAACTGAACTATATAAGAAAATTAAATTTGAATTGAAAAAATACTTTGCTATTATTTCTATAACTCATAAATTCTCTGACAATTGTAGTCACTCAGAATGGAAAAATAGGAGCCACATGTGGCCTAAGTATGAACAGTGAATATAACATATAAATATCTCTTAAAGCAACTCAATACAATAAATGTCAAAGTTCCAGAAATTTGAAACTAGCAAAATTTTGGTTTTACTTTAAAATTTATCTTTACAAAAAGTTTAAGTGATCAAATGTCAAACTTGTAGTATGTCCTATTAACCAGTGACAGGGTAAGGACTGAGCTAGCGTCCAGACTGGAAACAGCAAAGGTCCTCTAATACAAAACAAAACCTGGCCACACAGATCTGTCCCCATGTTGAAAAAGCCTTTCATCTTTGAAATAACACAAGGAGGCGTCATGAGGAAAGTTACCATTGAAAACCCACGAGACACCAAAACATCTATCCAAAACTTGCTACCACATCCTAAAAAAGTCTATCTTTGGTACCTTGCCTCAATAAATTTCATCCAAAGAATTCCCCCAAAGCGTAACAAATCCAAAAGAATCCACAACTGTCATGAGCCAACAGAAACAAGGTGAGCTGTGACTCACAGTAAGCGGTTGCAAACAACCTTGACTCTACAAATACAGACTTTCAGGTAAGCACAGCCCCGATTAGCATGGCCATTATCCCACAGCTGCTCTGCTCTGGGAGAGCAGAGGCTGTGGGCAAGCAAGCTAGGACAGTGCTACTCTATAACCTAGAGCAAGTTGTTTTGCAAGAGAACTGTCACTCATTCAAAGACAGTACCATTTCTTCTACTGTTGGCACTAAAATCTTGGTATAAACGCCTTACTGTTTGTTTTTGCAATGCTACAGAATTTTTACTCTCCTTTCTTGGATAACTTTAATTTACAACCTGGCAGAAAAAAAGGAGAGTGTTACTAACTCATAGATACTCAAAAAGGTCTTGACCAATGAATACATGAAGTTTTCTACAGGTTCATTTACAAAGATACATTAAGTATCATCATATTACAAGTTTAATATTTAAAATGCATAATAGCTAAGAAATTACTGGCAGGCACATGAAATTGTCGCTTAATTAAAATGTCAGGAGCAACACATGGATTTATAGTTAGCCTTTTCCAAAACACTTCTAAATCAACAGCAAAGACATGGAAAATTGTGGACAATGAGGCAACATGGGGTAAGAGACATCAGCAAAACAAAGCCGGAAAGCTAGAAAAGAGGTTGAGAATGAGAAGTCAGGTGAGCACAGCCCCCTGAAATGACATTTTACATTTAGAATTTCAGCTGGCAAGAAGGGGGGCAACAAGAAGTAAGCAAAGTCTGGCCCCAGAGCAGTGAAATCAGAAATAGGATGTGGGCCGCACCTTTTACACCCGCAAACAGGGTTTACTGCCACAGCTGTGTGCACCACAGAGAAGACCTCAAAGTACAAGCTACTTACAGAGGAAATAGGAAGTAACAAGCAATGCTTTCTTTCAAGGGACTGTAACTTACAGTCAACAATTTCATCTCAAATGTAAATACAACTTACTAATTCACTAAGTCACCTTTCAAGAAGTATATATTTTTAAAGCTTAAGCTGCATGCATAAAAATCTCCACTAACACATATGCACCTAAGATGTGGAGTTTGCTGAGGGTCCGCACTGTTGTTTGGGGTCTTGGGCAGCAAAACAAGCAGCAGCAACAACCACCACCACGGATACCACAAACCTGGCCACGTTGGAGTAATAAGAACACTAATGATGACACTCACAGAAATGACGGATGCACTCTGAGAACACTGCATGCATGACACACATGCTGATCGTTACAGACCAAAAAGCTTGGAGTTCAGATACAAATAAGTTACCAGAAGGCTCCCAATATCTTTCCAATATCTCAGTACAATTAAAACAGCCCTTTCTAAATTAATATGAAGCAATACAATATTTCTATTTAGCTGAAAGTAGTAGGCAATCTGATACATGCATAAAAACAAAAAGATTTGTGCAACTCTGACGTAAAGAAGTATTTGTTCACCATGTCACTTATTTATAAAACTCTACATCCGTTCAATTCCTTATGTTTTAGTTAGCGTTATAACAAAGGAAATATCTGAACTTCAGTGATAAGTTACTTAGCAAATTTTTAACCTACTTCTAAGGACTAAAAATTCTTAGTAGTATAATCTATGCTTTACCTTATAAATTCAATTTGTTAGCACCATTCTTTTCCTTTTTAAATAATCAAAAAGAACCATGTGTAGAATGATTGCCAAAATAGTGAGCTCTTCTAATACTTATGAACATAAAAATACACAGACACACCCGAAGACACACACACACATACACACACTCAACTCCCTGTGTAATATCTCAATAAACCATAAAACTTGGGTAAAGATACATGCTGCCAAGCCTGATGACCCAAACTCCATTCCCAGGACCCCCACAGGGGAAGGAGAGAACAGACTTCTGCAAAATTGTCTCCTGTCTTCCTTGGCCTTGCCATGGTAAGTGTTATCTGATGTGTACGTACACACAGGAACACTTGCTTGCACAAGCACACACACACACAAGTGCACACACACAATTTTTAAAACTCAATTGATTAGTTTAAATATTATATGGCATTTAATATTAATCAGTAAGCTACAAATTGCATCTGCCACATTTTGAACACTACAGATAACTTAGCATATTTTAAATGAGAACAAAATGTCTGTATATCTACAATTTTACTCATAAACTATATCAAACTTTGTGTTGATCTATTTTAAAGCAAGTATACATTTTGCGAATGTCTGACTTTGATAAAACAGCAAAAGCACCACTTTAATGACAAACTGGTTTTCCAGTGACATCAGGAGCTGTGCAGCTCTTCGAGAAACTGGAATTTCCCCCCAGGAATCTCCCATCAGAAGGAAAAGGCTAAATTTGGTCCCAGGCAGGGGAGGAACTTATCCCCCATGGAGAGATTTCACATCTCTCTGACAACCTGTCAGGATGGTCTGAAGTGTAGACACTGATGGGCTGGACCACACCTTCCTTGACCAATAATGCTTTGACATAGCACCTCGTGCCCTCTATTCAAACCTAAGTCTGGTGTTAGGGGCCTGGATATGGACTTGGGGGAGGAGAGGTACCTCCTGGAACTCTTGGTTCTTCTTCCCAGAGTGGTCACTTTGAATCAAATCTCCCTTCTCTGCTGTTCACTATCACTTCTCTGTTTAATTACCCTATAGAAAGAAATAAGAGTCCCAGTCCACCTTGCTAGGCTGCCAGGGCCCAGTTCTGACCCTGACAGCTCTGCATGCAATAGACAGACACTGGTCATGGGTATGCGTGCAGGAGTAGAGCTGAACCATCTAAGTCTATGTGTAACGCTTTAGGAAACTACCAGCTGTGTTACGCAGGGTGAACCACTGCATATTCAGTGAATAAAGGATCCATTTCCTCATATACTGACCAGCACTTACTGTTTTCATAGCACAGTTGGTAGCCAGTTCAAAGAAAGTTCCAGAGGGTAAGGTCGAAATTGTCCAAATTCAAGATACAAAGTTCTTGTAAAGTCTTGCTGGACCCACTTAATGTCCCACTAACCACTGATCCTTAGAACACCAGAAAAGGATAGCCAAGGAAACACTGTAAGGATTTAGTAAACACCTCACTTGTGTGATCAATTAGTATGTGCTATCAACAGATTTTAAAAAACAAAACAAAAACAGCTTTAAAATGACCCGGATGACCTAAAATTGCAACTTTCTGAAGCTAGTTACGAACCGAATTCTCCTCCTCCTCCTCCAATTCCCGCTGCTGCTCCTCCTGCCTTTTGGCTTTGGTTTCCATGGCTTCTGTGATCAGGTCTCTTAATATTGACACGGGCTTCGCATTCTTGATGAAAGGATGCTACAAAGAGAAAGTTAAGTGATACACGGTCAGAATTTTTTTTCTCAATTATACCCAACAGATATTAAATCAGAATCATAGGCTTCAAAAACTATTTTATTTATCACTGTGAAAATTGTATTTTGTTTGCTTTAGAAAAAAATGATGAGGTGTTGGTGGTGCACACCTTTAATCCCAGCACTTGGGAGGCAGAGGCAGGCGGATCTTTGTAAGTTTGAGGTCAGCCTGGTCTACAGAGCGAGTTCCAGGACAGCCAGTGCTACACAGAGAAATCCTGTCTGAAAAAGAAAAAAAAAGAAAAAAAAAAAGAAAAAAGAATGCTTTTGAGTTCACTTGTTTAAGAAAAAAAATCTAAACGTACACACAAAATAATGCTCCTATTAATAAAGTTAGATGACCTTAAAGATGTATTTGTTGAAAGAAAGTGAGCATTAGGTGGGAAAGGTTTTTAAGCATTTAAAGCAGATTAAAGATTACAGGTAAAAATAAACTTATTTTAGCACTGCTAAAGGATTTAATTAATCTTAAAAATCTGATGGCCAAACAAAGGGGAACTAATTTGTTACTTTTGCATAATCCCTATTCTGTTGTGTCTTGAACTATTTAGTCACTCACAGGGTAGGAAGATAAATAACTCCCTAACTCCCACCTCGTTATAGTCTATTGCATCTCTCTTTAATTCCTTTATATAGCCAAGAAATGACTACATTCTCAACTAGTTTATCAGTCACGCACTTTGATAAGCAAAGGAAAACCATCAGAACAGACTTGAACTCTTTAGATACAATTAAAAAGTGTATCTATGTGTGTGCATATGAAAATTATCGTATTTGTTAATGAGAGACACACTGTGAGGCAAATTTATTAGTTGAGAGTTCTGAGGCAATTCTGTTGAGGAAAACAAAATTTATTCAAGTATTAAGTCATTTCTTTTTGCTTTAAATTTCACAGATTTTTAAAAAGTTTCTTGCATTCTGGAGACAAAGTTTATTTATAATAGGGATACTAAAACTTCAGGTAACTTTTAAAAAATATTTTATTAATTTTTTATTTTATAAATATTATTTAAATTAGAAACAAAATTATTTTACATATCAATCGCAGTTCCCTCTCTCTCCCATCCTCCCATGCCCCCACCGACCCCCCATCCCATCCCCCATCTACTCCCCAGGGAGGGTGAGACCTTCCATGGGGGAATCATCAAAATCTGTCAAGTCATTTAGGGCAGGGCCTAGGCCCTCCCCTGTGAATCTAGGCTAATAGAGTATCCTTCCATGGGAAATGGGCCCTTGAAGTCCATTCATGCACTAGGGATACATCCTGGTTCCACTGCCAGAGGCCCCACAGACTGCCCAGTGCTCATAGCTGGGGGTCTGGTTTGGTCCTATGTTGGTTCTCCAGCTGTCAGACTGAGGTCCATGAGTTCCCACTTGCTCAGGTCAGCTGTTTCTGTGGGTTTTCCTAGCCTGGTCTTGACCCCTTTGTTCATCACTCCTCCCTCTCTGCAACTGGACTGCAGGAGTTTGCCTCAGTGCTTAGCTGTGGATCTCTGCTTCTGCTTCCTCGTACAGTCACTTTGGAAATCAGTACGGAGGTTTCTCCAGAATATGGGAATCAGTCTGCCTTAAGATCCAGCAGTTCCACTCTTAGGCATATACCCAAAGATGCATATTCATAGCACAAGGACAGCTGTTCAACCATGTTCATAGCAGCATTATTTGTAATAGCCAGAATCTGGAGCAACCTAGATGCCCCTCAGCCAAAGAATGGATACAGAAAATGTGTTACATTTACACAATGGAGTACTACTCAGGCTGGGGGGGGGGGGGGGGACACGACAATGGAATCTTGAAATTCACAGGCAAATGGATGGAACAAGAAACCATTCTAAGTGAGGTAACACAGTCACGGAAAGACAAACATGGTATGTGCTCACTCATATAGGATTATTAGACACAGAGCAAAGGATTACCAGTCTATAATCCACACCTCCAGAGAAGCAAGGAAACAAAGAGGACCATAAGAGAGACATACATGGTCTCCCCAGAGAAGGGGAAAGGGACAAGATCTCCTGAGCTAATTGGAAGCATGGGGGGAGGGGAGAGGGAGTTAGGAGAAAGAGGAGAGGAGAGGAGGAGAACAGCAGGGATCAGGAAGACTGAGTGGGGAGAGGAATGGAGAAGAGCAAAAAAAGAGACATCAATAGAGGGAGCCACCATAGGTTTAAAGAGAAATCTGACATTAGGGAATTGTCCAGAGATCTACAAGAATGACCCCAACTAACAATCTAAGCAATAGTGGAGAGGCTGCCTTAAATGCCCTTCTCCGATAATGAGATTGATGACTACCTTAAATGCCATCCTAGAGCCTTCATCCAGTAGCTGATAGGTAATCTTGTTAACCGGTATTTATAGCATGCAATCCTCTCACGGAGTTCAGGGATCCTGGATTCACATGCACTACACACATCAGAGTGGAGCAAAAAGTCAAGGGAGAAGTGCTGAGTCAAGGAAAACCTGGGAAGTAAAATTACAGAGACAAGAGCTCAACAGAGCAGAAACAGGAAAAGTCGGAAATGAACTGGGAGCGGATGAAAGACAGAGGGAGATGCAGGAGAGCTGAGAGCATGCATCCCACCCGCCTTTCAGATCTGTAAGGGTGGTCATGTGACCAGCAGCACCTGCTGGCCAGCGTCCAAAGCTGCAACAAGTTCCTCACTGACCTGCAACAGCTGGGTTGCCGTGGCTCTCTGTTCCGGACTCTTCACTAAGCACTTTTTAACAAAATCGGTGAAGTCGTCAGACCAGAGTTCAGGCTTCCTGAATGTTGGTGGCGGGTTTGTGGGAATCATGAAAATAGCCTAGATGAAACATCCAAAAGACACAGTAAGAACCACAGGAGAACAACCAAAGAAACCAGTTTCCGTCTTCTTGTCAAAAGTAAGTTTAAGTGCAGGAATACCCGGGAGAGACTGCAACTCAGGAACCAAGTCCATGTGCTACTGATGTAACCATTCCCATCAGATCCCTCAGCTTGGACTGTAGCTCAGGGAACACATCACTCATTTTATCTATGAGTTTTCTATCTATCTCCAAAGGAGACACATTTATAGCTCTTTCACCCAAGACATTCCCTATCAAAGTTATGTTTCCAAATCTTGCTACTGTGTGTGTCAGACTTACTTCCTATTTCAGTTTTAAAAGGCCACCAGTAATCTAATCTGCATCTGTCAGCAAATTACTTAAGTATAAACAAAATTACTACTATGATTTGAATACTAGATTATCAAGATTCTGAATGAAAATGTCTTAAAATACACCACTTGAATTTATGAGAAATAGGTTAAGTGCTAAATATTTCATAGCTGCAGTAACATGTTCAGATACTTCAAACCGAATGGCTGAAAGTCTCCTCTCACAGCCTGTTAACCACTGCTCCCAAGCGCCATGCCAGAAAACAAAACCAACTGGAACAAATGGATAATATACTCAGTAAATGATAACACTTTTATTCCTACATGCTATAAAAAGATAAGAGACAAATAGCAGCAACAAAAATTTTATTAGATAAAATGAATGAGAACAGGTAACAACTGCTCATATTTAATATGCAAATTTATATAAGTATACAATTAACACAATGGGTGAGATGATGAAATAAAAGGCCTTTAGCAACAATAAATACGCACACTCAGCAAACCGCCATGGGCCTCGGGAGCAGAGAGAAAGTCTCAGGTAGCACCCTAAAATTCTCCGTTTCTAAGTCTGAGCATCCTTTCCCTTTGAGCATCACTGGCTTTCGAGGGGCCTCTGCTTTTATATGCAAATGTAATGTCCATTAAGTTATGCCCACTCCCCTTTGTTCATAGAAAAGACAGAGGTAGTGATACTATAAATTATAACATTCAGAAACTAATGGTTTTTAATCATTAAAAGAGAATTAAAAACATTTATGTCAAAACTTCTGTTTATATATGGAGATAAGATCCTAACTACAGAGTTATACAGATGACATATTCTACTAAATCAGTTTTAATGTATTCCCTGCATAAGACAGAGCTTCTACTGTCCACTGAATTTTTATAAATTGGCAAAAAGACATATGTGTCTTGAGACCACTCACAGTAAAAGATATACAAAAGGATATTTAGTTCAACACTTTCATTTGACAGAAAAATAACCTAAAGTTTAGAGAGGCTATAAAAATGAAATTTCAGATTTACAAACAGATGATTATTAAATAAAAAACAAGCCTAAGAAGATAGAAGACTTGGCAGATGGTGACGCTACCTACTGCCAGCAAACAGAATGGCCAAGTCGTCCCCCTCTCTCAAGGGGAAGCACACAGGCTTTAGGACTTCATAAGGCCATGAGTGGCAGGAAAGACTGCTTGGAGTTACTATAGACACAACGGCGACGGTTAATAAAACTGAAGTTTACTCTACAAAATATGAGAGAAAGAATATTGACACCAAAGTCGTCTTAGCAGACAGCATCAGGGAGACTGGTTATGTACGTGTGAAAGAAACGAAGTTCAGGCTACAATGAAATTCAAAATTATCGAGGACTTAGCCCTGAGAGCTAAAACCATAAAACTGTAAGAAGGAAACATTTGAGGGAAATGTCGTGACAATTAATTTAGCAATGACTTCTCGTACGGAACAAAAGTTCAGGCAATAAAAGGAGAAAAAAAAAAAAAACTCAGGTGAACTTCATAGAAGCCTGAGGCTTTGTGCATCAAAGGGCATCATCACAAGAGCAAAAGACAACCAGAGCCCAGAACTGCATGGAAACCAATGAGAGCTGGAAGGCAGAAAAGATCCCCACAACTCAGTTATCAAAAATATGTGCAACCCAATTTTAAAACAGGCAAAGCACTTACATAAACATTTCTACAAAGAACAAACAAGAACGCTAACAAGCACAGGGAAGACATCCATCACTCGGAAAAGGCAACTCCAACTAAGGTGCAGCACTGCCAGCTCAGCAGGAGAGCTGTGGGGGTGAGCAGCCCCCTTGGAAATGGTAGAGCTGGGGCTGCAGACAAGGCTCAGAATTCAGTTCCTGCAGGGGACCCGTGCAGAATGCCCAGCACCATATGGTGGCTCACAAACTGACTACAGCGCTAGTCCTAGGGGATCAGGTGGTGTTTTCTGACCTCCATGGGCACGAGATATGCACACGGTGCACACACGTTCAGGCAGGAAAAGTGCTCACACACATAAAACAAGTTAAGTCAATTTAAAATAAAAAGGCCTGTCCCTTAACAGGTGTGAACATTCTTACACATTTTATACCACATTACACCTATGATCATTCCTCAAAAGCAGTGGAGCCAGTATCACAAAGCCAGGAAAACACATACAGTCAAGTATTTGCAAGGTCATCTCTGTTCAGTTGGCTGACGCTGTGATCCAAAAGCCATGAACTGACAGGCCTCTGGCCAAGCAACAACAGCGGCTTATTTTGCTATTTGCTTAGACACTGTCAAGCCTACCTGTAAGGTAAGAATCTCTTGGAATCAGGCTAATTTAAACCTAGATGCAGGTCTTCCTCTTTCCAAGGCCTTTTTACTTAGTGACTCAATCATCCACTTTAAGTATATGACTTTGTAAGATTTGCTATTTCCAACTTTAAAATACTACCTGAAACCCACAGAACTCATGGTCAACTTAAAGAGAAAACTTAATGAGCATACAAAACAAACACCAAGAAATTCTGTCTCTGAAGAGCCGAATTCATCTCTGATGACTCCATAGTTCTATTAGACTCTATTGAGGCTTTGAGATTGAACAAAATAAACAGCAGCTTCAGAAAAGTGAGAAAATCACCTGTGTGTCAGAGGGAAAATAATAAATCTGGGCCTCTTCTTTGCAGAATGGTTCAAAGGCCTAAGCCCACAGAGTTGACCTCAGCCTCGAACTGCAGGTAGATACTAGATTGTTTAGATAATTCCCTGCTGTTCTGTTATAAATTAGCAGATAACAACCAGTGATTTATGTCCTTGAAGCTAATGCTCTCCTTTGAACTTTGAAACAATAAGTTGCAGCCTTATCACCAGATAATCTTCACATATAAGGCTCACCTGGCAGTAGCTATTAGAAACCCAAGGATAAAAAGCTTAACTCTAACTCTTATTTACCCAGTACTACCATAAAGTGAATATAAATGTCACATCACAGTTGCAAACAAGCACTAAGCAAGCATGAACACTGAGCACACAGTTCAAATAAGTAAGTCTATCAAAATGTCTCCAGGAAAATCACTGTATCTTTCATTTCTGTTTTTATTTAGAAAACCAGTAACAGACTAGTAGGTTTTCTCAGTCTTTCCTGGGTACGACCAACCATGAGGATCCTAAGAAGCCCCGGGTTTTGTGTAAGTTGATTTAGTCATAAGCCCTTGTTGTAGAAAGTGCTGATCATCAGTGGCTAGCGTTAGACACCCTTGCCACCAACCAAATAACACAGACACACATTAGAGCCATATAATTTATCTTATCTCTAACACCATTTGATTGAAGAAGGTTAGTACAATAAATTATATGATTATCCTGTGTTTGTTTCTATACAATATATTGCTTAACTACATACTGAACCTATCCTTAAGGGTTTTCTTTTTTTGGTTGTTTTATTTTTAATTTCCCTGATCACAAGTGCTGTGAAGAAATCAAAAAGTAAATGTGCTTCAAAACATCTAACTATCTTTGCACCTGGGATTTCATGCGTTGGCTTCAGGGAGGGCTTGGACTTGAAGGAAATGTTTCACCAAGAAGCCACAGCACGTGGATTTACAATCTCAGTGCAAGGAGTCAACACCTGTGTCTTCGCCAATGTACAGGAGCAAGGAGCACGCCAGGCTAACAGTCCATCAGGGATAGTATGAGCAAGAGGGCTGGCTTCTTAGCAGACGAGGGGAAAGAGAGGGCACAGAACAGCAGAGGTCTCCTATAAACAACAAACGGGCTTAAAACTGGACCTCAGTGGGAAACACAGGCCTCCTGACTGCAGTGCAGTGGTTTGTTTTCATACAAGTGAGAGACTGGAGAGTTCCTCTTCATATACAGAAGATGTTAGCAGTCAGGTACAAAGTCCTAGCCGCGCAAATAATGTACTGGTTTGAAAGAAAATGCCACTGTAAAACCGGTAAGAAGCAAACCTCATTGCGAGTCTGTAGTTTCTTCAGGGCACACTGAGTACAGCACTGGGACCAGAAACTCACAACTTGTTCCCCCTCTAATCAGAGGGACTTCCATCATTCAGGCCAGGAAACGCAGTCTGCCTGCCTGGGAAGTGAGCGAAAGGAGAGAGGCGGAGCGGGGACTCTGGCTCGTGCTGACCGCAACATCGTCATCATCAGAGAACACTCCACTGGGCAGCCCAGCCCCACAGTTACCACAAAAGGGGGCCTCCTGTGGATTCTTAGGAAGAACTTTACTATTGTTGAGGAGAAAACCTTCATGGCAGATCAGCTGAAAACTCAGCCTTCCAGGACAGAAAGATGGAAGGAAAGTCATGCCTTTAGGTTGGGCACGGAGGTCAGAGAAACAAGAAGGAAGCCAAGAATGCGGAGGAAAGTGTGGTCACCCTTTTTGCTAGCATCCAGAAGGGAGAGAAAGAGCAGGAAGGGGAAAGGAAGCTTTCATGCTTGGTGCCTGGCCAGGGACACCTGACTTTAGGCTCTTGTGTGCCAAGACAGGAATGTACCCGGGTAGTGACAAACAGAAGTGGTTTGTTTTAAAAGGAACTACAAGGAAGAGGAGTGGACTAAGGGAAAGCAGTGCTCCAAGCACCAGGCCATGAGGTATACAAGGCATATGAGGTCCTTTATGCAGGCATTTACACTGACTTAACACTCCTTC